TGGTTTCCAAGACGACCAGGTCCTGTATGCATTTTAAAGACAAGTTTAAGCAGTCGACACTGGGAAGTTGTGTCACAACCAGTGTCATCTTAGTCCTTCTCAGCCAACCCCAGATGCTTCCCACCACATTATGCAGCCAAGACTCTTGTGGTCAATTCAATTCTAGCCATATAAAAGTATCCCAAGTATTTAAGCTTCTCATTTCAGGAGACACACCTTCTTCCACTCTGCCCTATCATACACAAAAGAGCACACACTTGCCTTTATCATAAACAGTCACCCCTCCCTTCCCAGCAACCTTCAGCTTAAGGTTTTTCTTTAAAAACTTTTTGCCTCACTCAGTTGAGTCAAAAGCCTTCTCCATACATAAGATAGACTAGTCCAAGAGAGGTTTTTACTTTCATTTAAAAAATATGCAAACCCTTGTATGGGTGTTTTACCTGGTCTACAAAAAAACCTAGCTTAAATTCAGCAACCTTCTAAACTAAAAGACTTTAAAACAGGTTTAATGCCAGCTCTACAAAGATTGGCACTAGTTTGAAAGATTATAGTGACACTGCTGTAACACTCATTTGAAACCCAAAGAGGTTCTCCCACAAATACACAGGCACACAACACCCCTGCATAGGCCAAGTGGCAACTGAAGTGTCAGGCTGCTGCTGACATGTTATTACCCCCAGGGAATTCACTTAAGATTTTAGCTTAGAACAAAGGTTAGAAAGCTCTAAGAACATGTTACAATCATAAGAATTATTACAGGGCTTGGTAGAACTGGAAAACAATACAGGATCCTCCCTTATGCACATGGTAGCTACACAGGTACGTAGCTTTTGTAGATTAATAGCATTAAGACAGAAAGACAGGCAGTTGCATAGCCTATGTTAGCCCTGGGTGGAGTAATTAGAAAGTTTTGAGTCTACTATGGGAAGGAGACAGGACCCTGTGCATGGCAAGCACATCAATACAGATTACACCAGGGCAGAGCAGATATGACCCATCATTTCCAGCAAAAGCACCCACAGCAGGCTCCCCTATGCTGCCACATCCCTTGAAGGGAAGATGGAGGCAGTCAAGAAAGCCAGGAAAATACAGCTGGAATGGAGCAGAGGGCCATCCAAAGACGAGAGTGAATAGGCCCACACACAAACCCTAGGCCAATGGTTTGCGGCCTCTTTAGACTCAAGGCTCCCAGTGGAAAAAGCTGATTAGTTTTCACATGGGTTTTTTAACTACAGAAACACACTAGAGCAATTCTTCTGTTGCAAAGAACGCAGACATTCAGACTGGTCAGGGTCCGTTTTCAACACTCTGGGTTCCTATTAGAAAGCTCTGGGTTTATCATGCAAATCATGTTTGTGCACCCTTGAAAGGATCACAGGGCACCACATCCAGGCTAGGAATCAGTCCCATGCTATGGTTACTTGACCTGGCACAACTTCCTCCACTCAGCCTGCACCAGTTTCAGGCCCTACACCAGGTCCTTGCCACTGCACGCCACTCTGGGGCAAGCCCACAGCCCCACTCCAACTCAACCATCAGCCCCATCAAGCCAGAAAGCAGATGCAGCCCAGAAGCAAGAGAGCCCAGGGTGGGGGGAAACCACTGCTTACACAGAGGGGCAACCGAACCAGCCTCTCCCCTGGCTCCATGCACACTCCCCGCATCCCAGGGGCCCTCCAAGCAGAAGCAGGCACCAGCCAGGCACACATCCTTTTTACACCCACCCTCTCTCCCAGGCCCCCCTTTGCACACACCCCTGCTTTTACACTCTCCCTTGCACACTGCCCCTCTTCCAGGCTCCCCCTTGCACACACACCCCTCCCTTGCACACCCCCTACTTTACACCCTCCCTTGCACGCTGCCCCTCTCCCAGGCTCCTTCCTTGCACACATCCCCCTGCTTTACACCCTTCATGGCACACAGCCCCTTCCCCAGGCTCCCCCCTCCTACACCCCCCCACTTTACACCCTCCCTTGCACACTGTACCCTGCCTTGCACACAGCTCTTCTCCCAGACTCTTCCCTTGCACAATGCCTACTTGCACGCCCCCTGCCGCTTTGCACCCTTTCTTGCACGCATCCCCGCTGCCCCCTTGCGCACCGCCCGGCCGCCTGCGCGCGCACACGTCCCCCCCAGCCCGGAGCGGAGGGGCCCGGCTGCACTCACAGTTCCTGATATCGGAGATGAAG